TCTTAGATGCCCCCCTGATGTTTTGAGTTGCTTAACCTATATAGAGTTCTTTTCCCCCTCTACTTCTCTCCATTTAGTATGCAGAAATATCCTTCTGACAACATGAAGTGCCTTTCCTTGTTGTTGTTGAGAGGTCTAGCCAGTCTGGGAATGGTTGGCCAAGCCTGACCTGGGCATTCACGAGCTCCTCTTTGACAGCCTGCCTAGAAATCTCTCTACTTTCACCTTCAATTTTTTTAGAATCATAAAATTATAGAATGTTTGGGGTTGGAAGGGACCTTGAAAGTTCATCTGGTCCAACTTCCCTGCCAGAGCAGGATCTGCTAGGAGAGGCCACACAGGAACGCATCCAGGTGGGTTTTGAAAGTCTCTGGAGAAGGAGACTCCACAACCTCTCTGGGCAGCCTGTGCCAGTGCTCTGTCACCCTTACAGGGAAAAAGTTTCTCCTCATGTTGAGATGGAACTTCCTATGTTCTAACTTAAACCCATTATTCCTTGTTCTATTGCTGGGCACCACTGAGAAGAGATTGTCTCCTTCCCCTTGACACCCACCCCTCAGATATTTATGTATGTTAATGAGGTCCCCTCTCAGCCGTCTCCTTTCAAGGTTAAACAGCCCCAGTTCTCTCAGTCTCTCTTCACAGGAGAGATGTTCAAGTCCCTTAATCATACCTGCAGCTCTCCCTTGGACTCTCTCCAGTAGGTCCCTGTCTCTCTTGAGTTGGGGAGCCCAGAACTGGACACAGTATTCCAGGTGTGGTCTCACCAGGGCAGAGCAGAGGGGCAGGAGAACCTTTGATATTTTGGCAGGGATTGACTTTTGGCTGATGTTTTATTTTTAAATGCTCACCTAGCCTGCATTTTTTGATAATAAGCATCTTCCACAGGTCTACTACTCCTGCTTGGAGTTTTCATGGATGTTAAGAGGGACCAGCATTACCCATCCCTCTAAAATAACTTTGAAGGGACATGACCAGTTACCATCCTCAAATCTACTTGCCTTAACATCTTTTTCTCTTTGCAAAATACTTTGTTACACTCCTTCATTTATCTGTCTTTTGCTCCTTGACTACCAGATAATTGCTGAGTTTTCTTTTCCTGTATGTGAACTAAGATAAAGTTGTTGACCATTGGCACCGCTTAGTTTTTCAGCTAACTCTGCCTTCCTTGTATGTTTACTGTTTATAAGCTGTTAAGAAATTCTGCTGTGAGGGTGTTCCTTTGAGTTGTGTTAGTCTATTGCAAGGACTTATGACTACTTTTATGTGCTTATACTCCCTGAACTGGGGGTTTTGAGCTTCTCTGTGGATTTTCTGTGATTAGGGATGGAAATAGTCTTAAAAACTGCGCGGAAGCTTAAGATGAGATATTTATGTAATGCTATTCTGTGTATGACGCAGCAGATCAGCGTTCTGTACAGCAGCCTCTCCATTTGTGTAAACCCTGAGCCTCTAACTGCGCTACAGAAGGACCGTAGGGTAGATAGAAGGTAGACAGTGGTACTGGTGAGAATGAAAAAAGCTGGAAAGCATGCAGATATGTAAGACATCACACTGTAGTAGCTGTTGCCCCTTTATCTCCCTCCGCTTCCACATACCACTGCCTTCCCTCTTCATGGTTTTCGTTAGTGAACTGAAGGACAGAACAACTTTCTCAATGTGCTGTAAGAGGCTCCTTTTCTTCCCCAACGCACTGCGTGGGAGTGCATGAGGGGCTGTTTGAGACTTTGTTGCTGGCTGGGTTTAAACCACAGCAAATTGTTAGTTAAAAAGCCTGTGTTGTGTCAAAGTGATAATACAGAAGTGACATGTTTCACCTATCTTCTGGCTTAATAATACTATTCACTGGTTTGTTCCCTCTCACACTTCCATTTAAATGTAGCTTTCTGTAATCGAGTACTTTTCTGTGCAAACAAGCAAGGAAGGTATTGAGAAATTAGATTCTAAAATACCACAATGCTCAACAAAAAGCAAAATGTGTTTTTGTAATGGCAAAGGCTCTTGCAGTGATTCTTCTGCAAGGCAATTTTGGTCTTATCAGAGGCCATAGAGTGGCTAGCATGCAGCCAGGATCTGGCCATGGCTGCACACCCTCTGAGTTGCCTGTTGTTTCTATGCAAGAAATGGTAGCCAGCCTTCTTTCCATTTTCTTATGGCAGCTAGCAGGGAAGGAGACAGGTGTTGCTTTCTGCTTTGCATTTCTCCTCTGGGCAAGGAGGCAGACTCTCCACAGTACTGGAGGGGAAAGTCGAAGTGTTAGTAAAGATTACGTGACTCCTTTTGGCTTCTGTCCTTCTACAGACAGGTCTTCAGAAAGATAGCACAAGTGAATTTTCAGTTGCACAGTTGCCCTGGGCATCACCAGGAGCTGGAACTTCACTGACCTTGAACATTCATCAGAATTATGAGGTATTGCTGCTCAATTATCTAGCTGCTGTTGCTAAACACTAAAAATCAGAAAATAGCTTATTTTTCTCTGCGCAGTTATCTGAAAGCCATTCAGGCCAACCTAAACTGATCTGCAATTGCAAATCAAGAAATTGGTACTGCTGGGATGTTCCTGGCAATGCTAGTGTCAGTAGAGGCTGCCTGTGCTGATGGGATGGTCAGTGCCTACACAACAGCTCTCTTTCTGCAGGTGAAGGGAATGCATGGAAACTCAGAGCTACTCCTGCAGTAAAAGCTCCCTTTTGTGCCGTGGATTTAACCCAGGACCCTATGAAGTCAACAGAAAGGTTTCCTTAGGGCTTAGAGTAAGGTTTCTGCCACAGAGATGGTGTCTGGGTTACTTTTAAATTCTGTGTTTCCATAAATATATGACAGAGAGTGATCTTTGCTGAGAGCGGCAGGGCTGGCAGTGTCCTGTTTCGGGCTCAACTGGGTGAAGCTCTGTGAAATGCGCCCCTGCTGTGCTTGCAGGGGTGCAAAGATGCTGCCCTCTAGGCTATGCTTTTGGGGCTGCAGAGCAGGGCTGCCAGCCCTCCTCCAGCCAGCCTGTGAGGGGAACTGGTAATGACAATGTACACTGCCTGAAAAATAAAACAAAGAGCCTTTAGAAAGGGAGAGGGAAAGTGTTGGGAAAGTATTTCCTAAGATGAGATGAGCTCCTTTAGTCTTTCAATTCTGCAGTCCTTTGAATAGAAGGAATCTGGGGAGGGACTGCTTACAAGGGCATGTAGTGATAGGACAAGGGGCAGTGGGTTTTAAACTAGAGCAGGGTAGATTTAGATTGGATGTTAGGAAGAAGCTCTTTACTATGAGGGTGGTGAAGTACTGGCACAGATTGCCCCGAGAGGTTGTGGAGGCCCCACAGAATCATAGGATGGCCTAGGCTGGAAGGGACCTTAGAGATCCTTTAATCCAACCTCCCTGTCATGGGCAGGGACGCCTCTCAACTAGATCAGGCAACACATGGGGCCCCAACGGGGATCGAACCCGTGACCTTGGTGTTATCAGCACCACGCTCTTAACCGACTGAGCTAACCCTCCCTGGAGACATCCAAAGTCGGGCTGGATGGGGCTCTGAGCAACCTGCTCTAGTTACAGATGTCCCTGCTCACTGCAGGCATTTGGACTATATGATGTTTGGAGGTCCCTTCCAACCCAAAGCATTCTGTGATTTCTGTGAATTTGACTGAAGCAGCAGGTCTTTTAATATCAGTCTTCTGCTATTAGACTAATTAATTGCAATTGCAAGTGTCTAATATTGCCACACTGTTTCTTTATATATGTGGTGAGAAATGACTAGACCCAAGAAAAACACAGGAGGGGGATAGAGAAGAAATACACAACATAAATAAAAACTATTGATCTTAATTTCTGTTTATTGATCTTAATTTCTGTTAAGTAGAAAGCACACATACTGAAAATCGCTATAAATGTAATTAGATGTTCTCTGTAGCAGAATGAAGTGAAAAGGTGTATCGATATTCTGTTTAGAGAGAATTTGGAGCATTTGACAGTTGTTGTTTTTCAATGACTTTTCTGCTTACCTTTTAATTAATCTCATCACTTTTTATTTTATCCTGTTACTGTGTTTTCTTACTTCCTAAGATTAGGAGTAAAGCACTATGTTAATTTACCTTTTAATTTTTTAAGCTAGTATTCCTCTCCGAATATAAAAACTGGTAACGAGAGATAAAAATTTCACTGCAAAAAGTTTCCTTTAATCATCTTAGCAAGTAGGAATAGTCTCAAATATGAGTGCAGTGCATGATGCCGAAGGAACAGTGGCTGAGGAGAGCTGTCATTGGCGATTTTCATACACCACATCTCCTCGCCAGTACCCATGAGCTGGGTGGTGGCTTTGTTGCCTGATGAGCTTCTTCAAAGTGTTGACAGAAATATGCGAGTTTTTCAGATAAAGGCTGGCCAGTGGCCATGCCTTACTTGGAAAATGCTGGGAGTGGATGTAGTTCTCTAGGCACAAAAGAAGTGACCCAGAAAACAGTGTCAGCTTTCAGAATCCCATTGCTTCTGGCATTTTTACTGAAAACGAGCACTGCTTTCTGGACACTTGTAAGCATCAATTAAAAGCTAAACTTATGACTCCTGGATTCTGTTTAAGTACAGCTTATGACTGCATGCATGGTGCTTCATATTGGTTTGGGGTTGAGGTTTTTTGGTACATGTGCTCTGAAGATCGTTAGACAGACATGATCCTAAGAGTATAATAAAAGAATCAGGAAATATTTTCAGTTCATGTAATTTTTAATTAATTATTTAAAAAGAAAGAAATTACAAACTTTTAAAAATAAATCATGTTTGCATGTATCTACATTTCTGAGAGATAGAAAACATTCTATGCGTTATGATTCTACATGGCTCTGCAACTTTGCATAAACTAGGGCAAGCTGTGTAAATAGAGGATGTCTGGTAATTATTCAAATTCTTTTTTTATGCAACAAAATAATGAATTTGTTCTGTAATGGATGGGATTTTTTTTCTGAGATTTCTGTGAAATCTCTAATAACGTTGCTGATCTGTCATTTCACCTATAGGTACATTTATATTCCGATGGGAGGATCTCAGTCCAGTCTGCTGGGAACACTCTTTTCCACAGCCCTCACTTTTGCCTTTGTGAGCTATTGGCATGGAGGACAGAGTTACCTCTGGTACTGGGGTGCACTTAACTGTCTTGGAGTCATTGTGGAAAATGGCGTCAAGAGGATACTTTCTATTTCATTTATTCAAGATTTAATTGTAAGTCGAATCTCTCTTCATTTCATGTTCTTGTTTCCTGACTCTATGCTCATCTGAAGTTCCTTGGTTACTAGTTCGGTTAAATCTCGATTAAAAGTCGTGGCTATCAGATGAAAGTGTTAACATTCCCTTGCTCACCCTCCCCTACTTGAGCTAAGCCTTCTAACTAGAATTTTGCAAAGTATCAAGAAACACCGAAGTATGCGTGCTCTTGAAAGCTTCCTTTGCAGTCCTGGAGTAAGCGACTGCTTGTCACGTAGTATATGGCTGAACAGAAGCCAGTTTTAACATTTGTATTCTGACTTCACTCAGGATGGCCTTAAAATATTCCTCACTAAAATTAGGAGTGTATATTTCTAACCATGTATTTCCTGGACAAATGCATGTAGCAGCTGCTTGCAGCTGGGAAGAGGTTTACACTGGGAAATGTTATGCCACTAAAGAGACAAGTAAAGAAAACATGATTTTGCTTTGAAGACCTCTGATATTCTCACTTTAGTTACACTTTTGACCTTCATGCTGTTGTTTCCAAAGGACAAAATTGTCTTTGATATGCAATCATATGCAAAAAGCACTATTTTAATTTTGATGGTCATTTTAGTCTGCAGTGTTTGCTCACTTGCTCACTATTGTAAGAATAAAAAATTTCTATGTCTGACTTCCTTAGTAGTGATAAGTACACACAGAATTCCTGCTCCTGTGTAATGTAATGGCAGTGGTGACTCATTCTATAGCCTGATGAAGCCCCAGTACTCAAGTAGTTATGGTGGTTCTTCATCCCACCCATTGCAGTTTTCACTCTCATGACATCCCATGTGTGATAGCTGATATACAGCTAAGTAATTTAGTAGCGATAACAGCCAGTGCTACCTTCCCTCATCCAGCTGTCCATTACTGTGACTTCATTGAGGGTCTAGAAGCAGCTTTTTACCTTCCTGGAGAATGAGTTTATCAGATACATTAATTCTCCCTCTAGGGTGAAACTGAGCTTCACCATCTGACTTGCTGCATACATTCAACTCCGGGCTGGAAGGCAAGATAGATTTTTTTAGGCACCCAGATTTATGAAAAAATATAAGTGTAAGGGTTTTTTTTTTTATTTAATATCACTGTATCAGAAATATTACAAGAACTCTTAAGGAATTAAGTGCTCAAATACCACAGAAATAAGAACATGGTGTTATGAAGGTGGGGTTAAGTTTGTTGGATTAATTTCTTACATGTAGCTCTACCTGTAGTTAACCGATGCTGACAGTAGGGGTTTTTTTTGTGTACATCAGCTCCCTAACAATGAACCAAATGAACCAAATGCCTTTTACCCCTTGCATCTCCTTTCTCTCTCCTCATCCAGTGGTTTTAAAGACCTATGTGATGTCTTCCATCTCTCGTTTATTTTCCATTTCTGTTTGGAAACATGGCTGTAGATCTTGAAAGGACACTTTCATATCTTTTCCTGAAATATTTCTGAAGCCAACATTCTTAGTACGAGTAGTTTTGGCGTCTGAATTGGTACATTAGGCTGATCTTGCTGCAGTCTTTGCAAGCTATAACCCCTCACTGCTCTCTCCTCACTCTTATAACTGCCATTTTTTTTCTTCAATCTTGAACCTGAGGAGCAGATGACTAGTTTGACTTTGACCATTCCTTATCAAAGGATGGAGTGATGTGATGTTCTCCAAGAAGTGTCACTTAAATTTAAAATGAACTGCAAATACCTTAATGCCCTGTATAAATTTCCTTTTTCCCTTGTAATGTGGCCTTTGGAAGCATTCCCATAATCCTGTCTCAGGGAGAGGTGTGCTGTAAGCCTGGTCTTTGCAGTGTTGAGAACCCTTTTCCGGGGGATGTTTTTTTTGCTTAAATTTCATCTGTTAACAAGCTGAAATCCTTTGCATTCTTGTGCTTCATTCACTTGCTGTGTTGGCTCTTGAAGGCTATTTTTGAAAAGGAAAGTTTATTTTTGTCCTCAGAATAGCAGATGAGTTCCTGAAAGGATACAAAACATAGGTTTATGCGGGTTTTTTTAACTCTCTCTACTTACCAAACTTCCTCATGTATTGTTGTTAAAATTAAGTTATATAATTCAGTTGAGCAGGAGGTATTTTATTAGTAAAATATAAAAAAAAAAATCTCGAGGAATAAGTTAAATTTTAATTCTGCTCTGATTTTAATTTAATTGATCATAAAGAATAACAAAACTGCTTTCCTTTTTTTCCCCACTACATTGTATCAATTCTCCTCCAAAACAAAAATTTAGAAATCTAAATAAAGCTCATATGTCTTGTTCTTCACTGAATCCTTGTGCTAAGAATATATGTAAAAAGATTGGATCCTATATTTATGCAAATTTTATGGTAGTTTAAATCTCAGCACTTGAAACCTAGCACAATATGAGTAAATAACACTTTTGTAGCAGCCTGACAGGTTTTAAATATCATCACAGGCATATTGAACCAGAATGAACAAAGAGCACAGACATTGTTTGGGAGAAGTAAAATCGGTAAACAAACAAATATTTACTGAAAACAGTAAATTTCCTCACCTAAAAAGTTGGATCAGAAACTTTCCATTTGTACTGGTTGCAAACCAGTGCCTGGCTTCCTTATTTCAGCTCTGAAAGAGCTGATGGTTCTTCTTAAGTACCTTTTCAGCTTACACTGCTCTGAAGTTTCATGTTTCAGTGAGCTGTGTTGTGAGAAGTTATCTACATATCTTTTTCTTTCCCCTAGAGATTACTTGTTAGATGTCAGTAAATTAGAGCTGAATTAATACTGTTATCATTAAAATGTTGTATATAGAAGTTGATGCTATGCTTCACAAGCTAGGCCATATGTGGGAACTTTGTATTAAACTGGAGATGTTTCATTATGTTTTTATCAGGTTTTTTTTTGCTTATTTTGCTTTTTCAGGAGATATTTAGACCCACAAGGAACAAAGTGGTGCTTTGTTTTACTGAACCTATATTAATTTATTGCAGATGAACAGAGTAACTCATTCAAAACCAATGACAGAATTTGTATTGATTTTTAATAAATAATGTGTCAGATTTCTGAAAGAAAATACTATGGCTCTCATTCTTCCAGGGATTTTTTTTTTTCTTTCTCCTTTTACTTTAAGGAAAATAAGACATAGATCTACACAAGAAATTAGATTTGGATATAAAAATAGATTTAGGATGATTTAAACTTTAGAGTAGCTGGCAACATCTTTAAATCAGTGGATTTTTAAAAAAGAAATACTTGGAATTCATCCAAAAGAAGATGTAGCAAAGGGGATGAAGTTGGCAGATTGTTAAAATTAATGTCTTAATCTCAACTGAAACAGCAGCATTTATCTTCTTAGTTCTTTTGTAAAGTGAAAACGTGTCATTCAGTCTAGTCAATTTTTTTTTAATTAAGACAAGAAGGTCTCTCTTCTAAAAATCATGCTATGATGAATTTCTAGTTTAAGATCTTATTTCTAGCTTTATTGAGTAAGAGACTAAATACAGCATAAACAATTCAATTTGAGAAACCAACTAATTTTAAGCATCAGTTATTTTAAAGTAATTTGTACTATCCTTGTAAGTGGCTTGGTTTTTTTCAAGTATAAGATACTTTAGTTTCTATATTTTCATTTACAGAGCCATTGTGGGACAGTTCACGTGACTGGAATGTGGTTATGGATAGCTACGTCCTTTTTAGGAAAGACAGACCAACAAGGAGAGGTGCTCGAGTTGCTCTTTATGTGAAAGCAACTAGAATGTGTTGAGTTCTGTCCAGGCGTGGAGGAGGGGCGAGTTGAGAGTTTGTGGGTGAGAATGAAGGGGCAGGCTAGCACAAGTGATACTGTGGTGGGTGTCTGTTACAGACCACCTGATCAGGAGGAGGAAGTTGATGCGGACTTTTACAGGCAGCTGTCAGTAGCCTCTCAATCACAGGCCCTGGTTCTCATGCAGGATTTCAACTACCCAGATATTTACTGGAAGGCCTACACAGCCAGCCAGCCACAGTCCAGGAGGTTCCTCCAGTGCATCAATGATACCTTCTTGATGCAAGTGGTGGATGAGCCAACTAAGAGAGGAGTGTTGCTGGATCTTATACTCACCAACAAAAAGGGTCTGGTTGAAGCGATGAAGGTTGAGGGCAGCCTTGGCTGCAGCGACCATGAGATGGTGGAGCTCAGGATCTTGTCCCGTAGGAACAGAATACCAAGCAGAATCGCAACCCTGGACTTCAGCAGGGCCAGCTTTGGCCTATTCGAGCAATTGCTAGGGGAAAAACCCTGGGACAGGGTACTAGAAGGCAAGGGGGCCCAAGACAGTTGGTTAATGTTCAAGGACTATTTCTTCCAAGCTCAAGATCAGTGCATCCCAACGGGTATGAAATCATGAGAGCCGGGACACCTGTATGGTTAACCAGAGAACTGCTGGGCAAACTCAAGTGGAAGAAGAGAGTCTGTAGATCATGGAAGGAGGGACTGGCCACTTGGGTGGAATATAAGACTGTGGTCAGAGGATGTAGGGAGGCAACTAGGATAGCTAAGGCCTCCTTGGAATTAAACCTTGCAAGGGAGATCAAGGACAACAGAAAGGGCTTCCTTCAAATACATTGCAGACAAAACTAACCCTAAAGGTAATGTAGGCCCAGTGCTGAATGAAGTGG